CACTGATCTTGCTGAACGCTCTCTTTTGGTGTCTAGAACCTACTGAGTCTTGGAAGACCTGCAAGGAAGCTCACCTTTGTCACCAGTGGATTGGTCAACAACCTCAACTCCTATGGAGCAAACACAATTGCTATGTGCAGTGGACTCACCACCTACAAAGCTTATGAAGTTCACGGTGAGTGCAAGCAAATCAATTCCGTCTCCCATTGACCTGGCATTTTTTCCCTTGGGGAATGACTATAGCACCAGTGGTCCTCTTCCAACTCAAGATGGACAGAAAGTGAGAGCATCAGGTTAGGCAGAAAGCCTTCGGCATCTCTGCAGATCAGCACTGCACCAGGCTTGCGGCCCAGCCTGCAGAACTGACCTGCTCCAAACCCTTACTACCCCTTTCTGTGAAGCTTAAGGTGCCTTAAGTTTGGGCTCAGAATTTTTCAGGCTCACCTCCTTGTCAATGCCCACGCTAAGAAAAGGGGTAATTCTATGAACCACTATTGTCTCATTGCATTAGTGTTTCGTGACTCCAAAAAGAATCTTATATTTGTATATTAAAACATTCCTATTGCAGCAATTATTCACAACCTTGCTTGCTCTGAGCAACAAAAATACACCCTCATAGATTACCTGCCAATATCTCAGCTATTAACTCATAGTAATTTGTTTTCTTTTTAAAGGACTCAATTACAATCCACAATCATGCACTGCACTTGATGTCCTGCGACTTGTGGAGCTGAAGTACTGCAGAGGAAATGGCCCGAATTATGAGCTCCAAAACTCTCAGCTTTCTTGAAACAAGTGTGAGGGCTCCAGAGCTGCTGCCTAAAGCCAACCCCAGTGCCCTTCTTCCCTTGCATCTCCACTGTCAAGATTTTTGGTCTTGATGGGTCAGATGCTGAAACAGATCAATTGGTGACCAAAGCTTTCAATTAAAAATCTTTTGCATAGAACATCTCTGGTTTGTTTCTCATTACTATGAGCCTCAGTCATCTATGAAATTCCACAAAAAGCATTTTGACTGTCTCTCTTCTGACCCCTTCGAGCTCTTCTAATGTTCTTTTCATTGCCAGCTCTCAACACTGGGCACACCCAGAGAGCTGGGCAACCCCCAGGGCGTGCACGTTACAAACAACACGTTCAGAGTTATGACCTTCCTTTCCCTGGGTAGGGAAAGATGCCTCACATAAAAAATCTTGATTGAAGCAGCACAAAAGGCAGAAAGAAGGAAGGACAAAGCAATGAATCTACCTTTTTTAGGGCAAGAGGAGTCTCCTTTCTGGGATTTACTGAGTTGTTCTTTACCTATAATATCAAGTCCTCTCTTTTGCAGTGAATAGCAGGGACTGGGTAATGGCCTCATGTTGAACACTAAAGTGGTTGAAAATGTCCTTCAAAGATGCATACACAGTATAAACACAACTGTTGATCACCTGAGAGAGTGAAAGATTCCCAATCCTCTCCTGGTCAAGCCACTGTCAGAGACAAAAATCAAAGAGAGTGAGAAGTCAAGCCCAAACATTTGACAGTTGAGAATTTTAGAGGGGAATCAGAGTACATTTTTTTTTTTTAGCAAGGCAGGATCCCTGTTGCTCAGAATTTTAAAATCAAGATTATTTCCTCTCCTCTAACAGAAAGGGCAGGATGCTCTGGGTTATCCAGGTGAATCCAAATCTATCTAGCACAAACACCAGTCATATGAAGTCCCTCGGTTTTTGGCATCCTCTCAGTGGCCCCAGAGGTTTCATTGTGTAGGGGGTTGAAAGGCTGCAGAGTTCCCTGAGGCAGCTCTTGGGGAAAAGCATCTGAATTACCTGGATGAGCACACAGCAGTCCCAGCAGAGGAGAGACACAAGCAGGAGTCTGTTGCTGTCAAACTCCTTCCTTTTCAGTATGGCTCAAGTTTTTTAATTCCCTCACAGACCATCAGTTCTCATTTTGTGGACACTGAAGAATGACAGATATAGGCAAGAAACAAAGTTTAGGAGGGATTTAGTACCTTAACACAATCATTCAGCTCTTGTCATGCCCTACTTTGCCTTCTCCTTGGCATTTCTCAAACTCTTTTTCCAGTAGGGACTGGAAAGAAACTTCTTAGTAGTTTTATCTGTGTTTTAATACCAAACATACATGAGTGAAATAAAAAGGAACTCCAGCCATGTCATGAACCAAAACAACTTCTTAGCAGTCTGACTAGAGGAACTATAAGTCTTTTCTTTTAGTAGTTCATTACTTTCATGCACCATATATAAACACCTTATGCACAGTGGGTACAACATGAACACACTGAAACACAGGGTGCTGCACTCCCACTGCTGGCAGACTACACCTCCTCTGCACTCAAGGAGTCCAACCAAGGCATCAGTTGGCTGCAATAAGCTTTACTTGAATTTAAGTGCCTTTGAAGTAAAGCCTAATTTAACTTTCCCTTAGTCATTATGCCTTTATACACTCATTTCTTCTGAAAAACACCCAAGAAACATGAGCTCCTGCTTTCCTAAGCAGCAATGTGCTTAGACACAGGTAAGGGCAGAGCAACCTGGGAGATCCACAGTTATTCACTGAAGGAGAATTTCAGCAGTAACCACGATCTCATAGTTTTCAGCTTCTATTGGACTGACTGAATTCTGCTCATCCTGTCAGACAAAGATAAAAATTAAAGATTAATTTCTAAAAAGCATTTGACTAATTAACACGATTACAAGAGAGAACACAGTCCAAGTTGGTTGTCTCAGGCAAAGCCTGGATATACTTCCAATAGGAAAGCCTTGCTTTTTGGAGGCTTTTCCCCCACAGTTTATCACACAACTCCCAGAAACGTACCTGAAATCAGCACACACGTGCTCGGAGCCAAGCACCAGAGTCCTCGAAGCGCCTTCTATATGAAGTAGCTGAAGGAAGGAGCTTTTCCCAGGCCTCAGGCAGAGGGAGGTTTAGCTTAGGAAGCCATGACTCCAAACCCCTTGGTGAACATGACATTTCACAATGATGCCACATTCTCAAAGCAGTCCTTGTGCCTTCCATACTTCAAATTTAAGTGAAGCCTCTTAAATTTTTCCCCAAATAAAACCCCTCTTTCCTCATCTGTTACACTTTGAGAAACAGGCAGAGCAAGTAATATGTTGTTACAACACAGCAACATTTATTGTCACAGGAAACCTAATTTCTGTGTTATTTTCATATGGCCAAATATTTTCAATCACAGAATCACAGAATGAGTCAGGTTGGAAGGGACCACAGTGGGTCATCTAGTTCAGCCTCCTTGCTCCAGCAGGGTCATCCCAGAGCACATGGCACAGGATTGTGTCCAAATGGTTCTAGAGTATCTCCAGTGATGGAGAGTCCGAGACCTCCCTGGGCAACCTGTTCCAGTGCTTGGTCACTGCTCAGGAAGGAAGTTCTTCCTCATATTCAGGTAGAGCTTCCCAGGCATCAGTTTCTGTCCATTGCCTTTTGTCCTGTTGCTGGGCACCCCCGGGCAGAGCCTCGTCCATCCTCTGACATCTCCCCATAGACACTGACATTGATGAGGTCCCTTCTCAGTTGCCTCTTCCTGAGGTTAAACAGGCCCAACTCTCTCAGCCTGTCCTTGTGAGAGAGATATTCCAGTCTCCACATCATCTTCATAGCCTCCACTGGACCATGGAGCTCCGTGTCTCTCCTGTACTGAGGAGCCCAGAACTGGACACAGGACTCCAGATGTGGCCTCTTTAGAGCTGAGCAGAGGGGCAGGATCACCTCCCTTGACCTGCTGGAAATGCTCTTCCTCATGCACTCCAGAACACCATTTCAGTTTCTTGCCCACAAGGCACGCTGCTGGCTCAGGGACAACTTATTGTCCACCAGGACCCCCAGGTTCTTCTCCACAGAGGTGCTCTCCAGCAGGTCACCCTCAGCCTGTACCAATGCTTGGGGTTATTTTCCTCGGGTGCAAGACCTGCATTTGCTCTTGCTAAACTTCACACACTCTGCCCATCTCTCCAACCTGTCAAGGTCCCTCTGAAGGGCTGCACAGCACTCTGGGGGATCGGCCACCCCTCCCATGTTTGTGTCAGCAGCAAACTTGTTGAGGAGGCATCGACCCTCTCATCCAAGTCACTGACGAGTAAGTTAAACAATACTGGGCCCAGCATTGAACCCTGGGGGACACCACTAGTGACAGGCCTCCAAATAGACCCTGTGCCTCTGGTTATGATCTCCTGAGATATGTTGCTCAGCCAGTTCTCAATCCACCTCATGGTTCACACATCCAGTGCACACTTCCTGAGTTTGCCTATGAGGATGTTGTGAGAGACAGAGTCAAAAGCCTTGCTGAAGGTGAGGTCAACAGTAACCACTGCTAATCCATTCATCAACAATATCCACCCCTCATCCATCCAGGTCGTCATTTCATCATAGAAGGCAATCAGGTTGGTCAAGCATGATTCACCTTTAGTGAATCCATGCTGACTTCTGATCACCTCCTTGTCCTCCATGTGGACAGCGATGGCCTCCAGAATGAGGCACTCTATCACCTTTCCAGGGATGGAGGAGAGGCTGACTGGTCAATAGTTCCCTGGGTCTCCTTCTTTGGAAGACTGGGGTGACATTTGCTTTCTTCCAGTCCCTCAGCACCTCTCCTTATTGCCACAACCTTTCAAAGATGATCAGGAGCAGCCTCGCTGAGGTGTCCACCAACTCTCTCAGCACTCGTGGATGCATCTCGTCAGGGCCCATGGACTTGTGGATGTCAAATTTGCCCAGGTGTTCTCTAACCCAATCCTCCTTGAGCAAGGGAAAGTTTTCCTTCCAAGCTGGCCTCGGGTCAGAGATCTCTGAGGGCTGGTCTTAGCAGCGCAGACCAATGCAAAGAAGGCATTCAGTAACTGCCTTCTCTGTGTCCTCTGTCACCAGGGTCCCTTCTCCATTAACTAATGAGCCCACATTAGCCTTGGTTTTCCTTTCGTTGTTGATGTATTTGAAGAAATCATTCTTGTTGTCCTTGACATCCTTGGCCAGATTTAATTCCAAATGGGCCTTGGTCTTCCTTATCTTATTTCTACTTACTCTGACAACCTCTCTATATTCATTCCTGCTCCAGCTAGTAAATGAGCCTACCAGGGATGGGGCCCTGCTAGACCTTCTATTCTCAAACAGAGAGGGGCTGGTGGGAGATGTGGTGGTCAGAGGCCGTCTAGGGCACAGTGACCATGAAATAAGAGAGTTTTCAATACTCAGGCATGCAAGGAGGGCCATCAATAAAACCTCTACGCTGGACTTCTGGAGGGTAGATTTCGTCCTGTTCAGAAGACTAGTTCAGAGTGTACCCTGGGAAACAACCCTTGAAAACAAAGGGGTCCAGGAGGGATGGACATGCTTCAAGAAGCAAGTCTTGAGCACACATGAGCTGTCCCAGTGTGCCGAAAGGCGAGCTGATGGGGAAGACGACCGGCCTGGCTGAACAGGGAGATTTTGAAGGAAATTAGGGTAAAAAAGAGAGCCTACAAATTACGGAAAAAAGGGCTGGCTACTTAGGAAGAGTTTAGGAATATAGTTAGGTCACGTAGAAAGAAAATTAGAGAGATGAAGGCGAAATTTGAATTCAATCTAGCCAGTTCTGTGAAGGATAACAAAAAGTCCTTCTACAGATACATCAATAGCAAAAGGAGGGGCAAGGAAAACCTCCATTCTTTATTGGACATGGGTGGGAACATAGTTATCAAAGACGAGGAAAAGGCTGAGGTGTTTAACAGCTCAGTTTCCAACAGTAGGACAGGTTGTCCTGAGGACAGCTGGCTTCTGGAGCTTGTAGACAGAGATAAGAAGCTGAATAGCCCTGTGTAATCCAGGTGGAAACAGTTAGCAACCTGCTGAGCCACTTGGATCCTCACAAGTCTATGGGACCAGATGGGATTCACCCCAGGGTGATGAGGGAGCTGGTGGAAGAGCTCACCAAGCCTCTCTCCATCATCTACCAACAGCCCTGGCTCACTGGGGAGGTCCCAGATGATTGGAAGTTGGTGAATGTCACACCCATCCACAAAAAGGGCTGGAAGGAGGACCCGGGAAACTCCAGGCCCATCAGCCTGAGCTCAGTGCCTGTCAAGGTTCTGGAGCAGATCATCCTCAGTGCAGTCCCACAGCACCTACAGGATGGACAAGGGATCAGACCCAGCCAGCACGGGTTTAGGAAGGGCAGGTCCTGTCTGACCAACCTGATCTCCTTTTATGACCAGGTGACCCACCTGGTGGGTGAGGGGAAGGTGTGGATGTGTCTGTCTCGACTTCAGCAAAGCCTTAGACACCGTCTCCCAGGGCACACTTCTGGAAAAGCTGCAGCCAAGGCTTGGAGAGGGGCACTCTCTGCTGGATTAGGAACTGGCTGGAGGGCCAGGCCCAGAGGGTGGTGGGGAACAGAACTGCATCCAGTTGGGATCTGGTCACCAGTGGTGTCCCCAGGGATCAGTGTTGGGCCCAGTTCTATTTAATATCTTCATCGATGATTTAGATGAGGGGATTGAGCCCATCATCAGCAAATCTGCAGATGACACCAAGTTCAGGGGTGTGTTGATCAGCTGGAAGGCAGGAGGGCTCTGCAGAGGGACTTGGACAGGCTGGATCCATGGGCTGATTCCAACGGGATGAGGTTCAACAAGGCCAAGTGCTGGGTCCTGCACTTTGGCCACAACAACCCCCGGCAGCCCCACGGGCTGGGACAGAGTGGCTGGAGAGCAGCCAGGCAGGGAGGGAGCTGGGAGTGTGGATGGACAGGGAGCTGAACAGGAGCCAGAGTGTGCCCAGGTGGCCAAGAAGCCAATGGATCCTGGCCTGGCTCAGGAACAGTGTGGCAGCAGGAGCAGGGAAGTGATTCTTGCCCTGGACTCAGCACTGGTGAGGCCACCCCTGGAGTGCTGTGTCCAGTTCTGGGCCCTCAGTTCAGGAAGGACATTGAGGTCCTGGAGCAGGTCCAGAGAAGGGCAACGAGGCTGGGGAAGGGACTGGAGCACAAGTCGTATGAGGAGAGGCTGAGGGAGCTGGGGCTGTTCAGCCTGGAGAAGAGGAGGCTCAGGGGAGACCTCCTCACTCTCTGCAACTCCCTGACAGGAGGGGGGAGCCAGGTGGGGGTTGGTCTCTTCTGCCAGGCAACCATCAGCAAGACAAGAGGGCTCGGGGTCTTCAGCTGTGCCAGGGGAGGTTTAGGTTGGATATTAGGAAGAATTTCTTTCCAGAGAGGGTGATCAGGCATTGGAATGGGTTGCCCAGGGAAGTGGTGGATTCTCTGTCCCTGGAGGTTTCTAAGGTGAGACTGGATGTAGCATCAGTGCCATGGTCTAGTAACCACAGCAGCAGTGGACCAAGGGTTGGACTTGATGATCTCAGAGGTCCCTTCCAACCCAGCTGATTCTCTGATTCTATGATTCCAAGTGGCCTGACCCTGCTTCCCTATCCTGTATATTTCCTGCCTATGCTTGAGTAATAACAGGAGTTCTTTATTCATCCATGCAGGTCTCTTCCCCTCTGCCTGATTTCTTCTCATTGAGATGCAGCATTCTTGAGCCTGGAGGAAGTGATCCTTGAATATCAACCAACTCTCTTGGACCCTTCTTTCCTGCACAACCTGTTTCCACAGGATTCTTCCAAGATGATTCCTAAAGAGGCTAAAGTTAGCTCTCCTGAAGTCCATGGTTACAATCTTACAGCCCGACACTGAACTCCACAATCTCATGGTCCCAACAGCCAAGGCTGCCCCCAACCTTCATATCTCCAATAAGGCCTTCTCTGTTTGTTAGTAGGAGGTTGAGCAGCACACCATTCCTTGTGGGGTCCTCCACTACTCTGACAGGAAGTTGACTTCAATGTTGTTCAGGAACCTCTTGGACTGTTTCTGCTTCACTGTATTGCTTCTTCAGCAGATGTCAGGGTAGTTAAAGTCCCCCACAAGAACCAGTGCCCGTCACTTTGAGGCTATCTGTAGAAGGCTCATCCACTTCTTCCTCCTCCTGATCAGGCAACCTGTAGCAAACACCCACAATGATGTCGCTCTTACTAGTGTTCCCTTTTATCCTAACTCATAAGCTCTCCACTTGCTCGTCATCCACCCCAAGACTGAGCTCAATACATTCCAAACAGAGGGCAAATAACCACCAGTAGAGGTCAAAATCCCCTCAAACAGAGGGCAACTCCACCACTACGCCCTCCTGCCTTCCGCCTTTTCTCCTAAACAGATGTATCCCCTCATGACAACATTCCAGTCACCCGAGTTGTCCCACCAGGTCTCTGCAATCGCAAGGAGATCAAAAGCCTGTGACTGCACACGGATGTCTAGTTCCTCCTTTTTGTTCCCCATATTGAGTGAGTTGGTCTACAGGCACTTTACAGAGGCATTTGACTGTGTTAGCAGTGGGGGTGCAAAGGGATGCCCCATAATCCTGTCCTGTGCTTATGTCTTTGGATGCTTGTTCTTGCTGGAGGTATCCCCTTTTAAGCCTCTTTTTGCTCCTTGGGTGGTCACTATAGTTCTCCCCTTCCCACACCTTATCTCTTGAGCTTGGCTATGTCCCCACATCCTTCATAGAATCTTAGAATCACAGAATCAGCTGGGTTGGAAGGGACCTCTGAGACCATCAAGTCCAATCCTTCATCCAACCCCGCCGTGGTTACCAGACCATGGCACTGATGCTACATCCAGTCTCACCTTAAAAACCTCCAGGGACAGAGAATCCACCACTTCCCTGGGCAGCCCATTCCAATGCCTGATTACCCTCTCTGTAAAGAATTTCTTCCTAATATGTAACCTAAACCTCCCCTGGCAGAGCTTAAGACCGAGCCCTCTTGTCTTACTGATCGCTGCCTGGCAGAAGAGACCAACCCCCACCTGGCTACACCCTCCTGTCAGGGAGTTGTAGAGAGTGATGCAGAGAGTCTGATTTAAAACTCTCTCAACAAGCCCTGTCAACCCCTGAGCTAAGATCCTTTTTCCTCTTTGAGACAGGTGGATCCCATGTGTTGCCAGCAGGTGTGGTGTCATAAAAGTTGATCCATGATCAAAACCCCAAAACTCCACTGGTAACATCATTAAGATACAGAATTACTCTTAATCTAAGCAAAATTGCCAGAATTTGACCCATTAGTTGACACTATCATCCACTAGAAAATCAAAGAATCTTGAGCATCAAGTGAAAGGAATAATTGCACCATTTCAGTTCAAGTCTGAGTGCTCAACAAGAGTTTTAACATCTAAAGGAGAAGGATTCAATCAAGTCAAGGGGAGATTATGTGATCATGATAAACTCTCCTGGTGACTCACAGGGTATTTTTCCAGGTACTTTTCATAAATATTTACTTTATCAGGGAATGAGGAGGTAGTGGGAGAAAAGTAAAGAGTGAAGCAACACCTCAAAACACCAACTCTCCATGCCCCCATTTGCACTCGGGTGCGCCATGCTCTAGATAAAGGCAGGGTTATACAGAAAGGCTTCGGCATCTCTGCAGATCAGGATTGGACCAGGATTGAGTCCCAGCCTAGAAAACTGTGGCTCAAGGACAGGTCAAGTAGAATTAATAATGTTCCACAGTTACAAAGGAAAATATCAAGCTTAAGCTTCTAGGATGAAACCAGAAAGAATTCCAGCAGTTTTACTCTTGCTAGACAGTAAGGAACAAAAAACCCACATGAAAATGTAAGTGTGGCTTCTGTGATTTAGAACCAGCCTCATGATCTCCAAGGACTGGCAACATTTTTAACACAGCAAGATCACCACCTGCCCTGATCTGAAGGGTGGGTTTGGTTATAGGTACAACGTCAGGCCGAGTCCTTTGCCACACAGGCACAAAGTGTCATTACAAGTCTACTGGGAATCTGGTCTCTGCTTCTGATCATTATTCCTTTCCATTTAAAAGTTACTGTTAAATACTCTGGACTTACCATGACAAGTTTCCCTCTACGCAATGAATTCAATCAGGCTGCTATCAAAGCCTCCTCTTATCAGAGCACTTCCTCAGGAAACCCGTCATGCTTCTGTGAACACAGGGCACCTGCCAATAAGGTAAACCCATTTTCACATTTAACTTTGGGGTATTATGTATAAAAACTAAGAGTACACATCAATTACCAGCAGAGTTTGCCTGGCTTACCATCAAAATGAAGTTCACTGTAAGTAGACGAATCACTTTCTCATAAAACTCTTAAGGCTGGACAGTTTAAATGGTTTTGAGTCTTTCTTGGCACCAAGTGACCTCTTAGTGATTTCTGCAGGGATCACAGAGAGAAAATGCCAGAGGGGTGGGGACGGCATGGGTGAAATGTCCCTTCTGCCAGGGATGTAACTCCATGTGCCCACTCAAACATGAAAGAGAGAAGTGCTCTGTCTCAGGGGTGACACACATATGTGAAATGTTAAAGCTTATCCATCTTTATAAGGTGGATGCATCAGGCACATGAAAGTCAGGTCAGGATAAAGCCTGAATGAAAGGTTTGACACAACAGCATTAACAGCTTCCTAACCTCCCCTTTGAGGCCAGAAATCACCTCCCCTTTAAAATAATCTCCAAGAGCAACAATTTCCCAAGACACGGCTACTAGAACTATTGCTTTATTCAGTGAAACACTCCTGGGAATCCCCAAAGCTTCATCCTTACCTCCTTTAATCTTTTCCAAAAATCAGAACATTGAGAATGGGCACCACAGTGACAACTCAAACCACTCTGACACTGACCCAAAGGAGGGCTCTGAGGCCTGGAAAACTGTCTGGGACTTCAAGACTGTAAGTAGCTGCCACTATGGCTCCAAAAAAATGACAAGAGACAGAAGGTTTCTGAAAAACACCAAAGCTTCAACAAAACTTCACCAGATTCTAGGGGAGACTCTCAAAAACGTTCTCCTGCAGCCACGGGGCTGGTTCTGCTGTACTGTGAGCTGCACTGAGCTTTCCAGCAGCAAATTCCTTCACCTGCCTTAAGCAGGAGAACACATCATACACGTGGCATTACTGGAAGAGGCAACGGCCTCCATGACACATTTACCTGAACAATATAATCGAAAGGACCAATATTTTTCTTTCCCTATGACTGTTTGCACTCTACAAAGCCTTTGTTTTAACCAGTGCCTCTCTCTAGCAATCCACTTCTCTTTCTCTGTTTGCAACAAAAAGGGGTTTTCTGTTTAATTTTAACAGGGCTACGTTGCAACTAAAGTGTTTTCAAAGAACACCTGCATCATTGCTTCAACGAGCAGGAGGTTTTGGCTTGGCAAACGGTTTCCTACAGCACCTCAAGGTGACAAGGTAGGATGGTGGATGAAAGTGGTTTGAAAGCCAATTGATTGAGAAAGTGCTCCGAGAACTGAAGAGAACCTTCTCAAAGTTCTCTCAAAAGTTGCATTGCCCATGAATAACCCCTTCCCTGCTACCAAAGATGTGTGTAGAGGTTCTGAGGTCCGTTTTTGGTTTTTTTAAATGCTGTTTTCTGGGTTTGTTTCTTTGATGCTCAGGGATCTCAGCCTCACCCACTGCCACCCAGAGAGAATCGCTTCATCATCTCAAGGAACAGACTCCAGAGCTTGAGCCCATATGGAAAACGCATCCAAGCTCTGTGAAGAGGAATTCCCTCTTACCTGGCTCACCCAGCTCCTGGTGAGTCTGCTGCTGACAGCCTTTGTGTTCCAAAACAAACGAGTGCTTGTAGTGCACATTTAGAATGATGCAGTTCAGTTTCTAAGTGACTTTTCCTGGTACATTCCCAACACTAAGTTGGAAAAATTTCAGCTACATTGTTCTCGTATTTTCTCAGACCAAATCTAATCTGTTTTTCCTTTTCTTTTACCATCAAACTTCTTATCAGGATCAAACTTCTTATCAGGATCAAACTTCTTAGAGCAAGGTATTTCATGCTTGAAAGTTAAGATTAATAAACTGCTTGTCTATTACTGCACTATACCTACCGCATTAGCCATTTCAAATAACGTAATCTGAAGTCTGAATTTATAGAGATCGGTGTTATTTTTATTCTAACAACTTCTTACTATACTAAGAATTAAAATGTTTTATTTTAAAAATAAGCATTGCCAAGCAATATGACCAATTGCAAATAGACAGATACACTATTGCTCTCTGATCAACCCAGAAACCAAGGAGCAAATGACAGAATCAAAAAGTGTATTAAATGCAGTCTGGAGTTGAAAACAGAAATTATCTAAGAATGTTTCATAAAGGTTTAACATAGGAAGCAAAGAAGCATCCCCCGACCAACTAAAGTTGGAAATTTGAAAGAGTCAAATTAGGTCAAAAGTAAGGCAAAAAGGCTGAGCAGAGTTTCTTCATCTAAAACATCAGTAACTCAGTCTGTGTGGGACACAGCAGATCTTCACCTTCCCTCCTTGCTCAGGGGCTCTTTAACAGGAGGTACTCAAAGAGACACTTTATCCACTCAGGAACAGCCCAGAGTTTCTCTAAAGAAAGGACACAGCAGCTTGGTCTGTTCAGGAAAAGGCTTTTGGGGTCTCTAAGGGTCAACTGACATTAAAACCAAAGCAAAACTGTACCCAAGAGTATTTTAGCACTTCCAAGGAAAAGCAACCATGGGGTTGCAGTATTTAAACAGAATTTCCTGTCTGCCCTGCCTGGAGTTTCTGGAGAGACCCTCCTCTCCTTTTCCAACTCTACACTGCATTTTCCCTGAGATCACACAGGCACAGCCCTCTTCCCTTATCCTATTGTGAGTCAATGGGAACGTCTCTCTGGGGGCTTTTGAGCCCCTGGACACCATGGGCCAGACTGTCACAGATGATGATTTCAAGTGCCCCGAGGCAGCCGGGGTCTGACCTGAGCAGGGTCTGTGGTGCAGCATCTCGTGCCAAGAGCCTGGCAAACAGGGATACCCACAGCCAGGCTGCAACCAGAGCCTCCCTGCTCTCCGTGCAGCGCACTGCAGGGCACAGGTGCCTCTGGAAGGGACAGTGCCTTCTACAACAGGATCTCGCTGAAAGCCAGAATTCCAACAGGAGAGCACAACATGGCAGCTGGGCCCCACTGTTCACAAAACTGCTTTACTTTCATGCACTGAGGTTCCTATTTTTACTACAATATTACACATTGTGATGCTTAACACATACATGTCCAAGCTTCTTTTATTCCATGAAAAGCTTAAATTCACAAAATGTGGAACCATTATGGAACCAAGGAAGCAAAGTGGTTGTTTTTTCCAGACCCAAGGAACTTAATCCTAATATGACCCCCTGGCAGGTTTCTTGCTCTAACTGGGATGCCATTACATCTCACAATGTTCATGAGTCAAATTTAGACTGATCCAGGTTTCAATTGATCGTGAAGAGAACAAGACTCAAAACAGGATTCCTAAAGAGGGACAAGACAGCAGAGACTCCAGTGAACCTGAGGGACTCTCGAAATGTCCATGTAAGTACAGAGGTATAGAAATATTCCTAACAGTGCAGAAGACTGGAGTTGCTTTCCTTGCCAAAAAAGATCCTTCTAAACAAGGACAAGGCCTGAGTTTTATTTAAATTTAAATCCTGAGGGCAATCTACGAGCATGCCCAATGGGCATTACAAAGTGGCAGGATTTTATCCCAAGTCCTACTTCTGTTTTTCTCTTCCTGCCCGTCCCAGAGCAGACAAAACATGAAGATAAAAAAAAACTGAAAAACTGCATTGACAGAAAAAAGTTCAAGAGTGACTCGAGCATAATTAAAAACCCATCCTACAATCTAATAAAAGTGTTTGAATGCCCTCATGTATTTTAAAGCAAACTGAAGACGCTGAATGAACCCGACTTTTGAGGAATTTTTTAACACAGAATAGATATTCTGATTGGAGACACCAACAGCAGGTCTAACACCGGTCTTGAGGGTACGAAAAGACCTCAAAAACTGTACATTAATCAAACTGCAACGGCACAAAGGTGCCGGGCCCGCCCCGCGCGGCTCTCCCGCCCTTTCCCGCTCCCCTGAGCTGCCGGCGCCGCCTCAGCCCCGCTCCGCCCGGGCCTCGGCCTCACCCTCCTCCACCGCAGCAGCAGCACGGTCCTTTCCACCTTCAGCAAAGGGCCGATTCCTCGCGGGCAGCGCAAGGGCTTCCTCGGCGTTTCTCGTCGGGTTTTTTCTCCCCCCCGCCCGCCGTAGGTGCCGAGGGAGGGGGAGCGCGGTGCGCGCCGCCCTCACGAACAGCAGCGGGACCCCCTGGTGTGGCGGCACGGATCAGAGCGGCCCCTCGGACTGCCAGATTCGAACAGGGAAACGGAGGCCAGAATTCGGTTTCATCTTGCAGTGCAACAATGGCTAGAAGTTATTTTTATGTATAACACCCTACTCCCTTCAAACTCTCCCCCCCCCTCCGCCGTACAAACACACACACGGCTAGGCTTCGCGAACGAAGATTTGGGAGACACACACACACAGCCTTTTAAAATAAGGTGCTGGGCTTCGGTTGAAAAGTAGTTACCTTTTCACAGACAGGGACTGCTTACAGAATGAAACTGAGCAACTTCTCAAATATTCCAAAACCTCCCTAAGTGACCACCCCCTCAATATTTAC